CTAACCATAATTGGCTGTTATAGCAAACAGATTTTCAGAGAATATGTGGGCCGATCCCGGCGGCACTGCAATGCCGGGCCGACCCGTGACGAGAGTGGAGCGAGCCCCGAACATCTCGTCGGATTACAAAAATCAGTTTAATATACTGGTCCCTCAGTGAGGGAACTTTCAGATATTAAGCTGAAAAGAACAGATACTACACTTTGATCTTAGCCAAAAGGCCGAGAAGCGATGTCGAAACAAACTTGCACGGCCGTCTTAAGTGTACGACGTGCAATTTCTACACCGCCGTTCAGAAATTGCACACCCCTTATTGACAAGGCATCTAGTAAAGCATCATTGTACTATTCAGACACACAGACAGTTGTACGACACGCACTAAGCATCTGCTACTACTTCGACACAGTTCCGTAGTTGTGCGATTAGGTTTGCCGCCAGGTGTCATCACAATCGTGTTAAGTAACTACACAAAGAGAACTATTATATACCTGATTGCATTATCATATCTGACTGAATACGTAAGGATGAAAAAAACAAACATTTTACTATCTATAAAACAAAATGTATAAAAATCATAGTTAAATATGGGAACTATATACGGCAACCATCAGCGCCATCTGTTCGATTAGTTTACCACCAAGTGCTATTTATGCAAGCATGCGTGCATGTGCTGTTACTGCTCAGCATATCGTTCATACATAAAAATAAACCAGAAGCATGTTGTCAGTCACTTTGATTTACTTTTGTGTTTTTGAACTAAGATGTTTTAGTTCTATTAACTTAAATGTAGGTAGGTACTTACTTTCAAGAGAAGATAAAACATGATCTATCAAAAAAAAAATAGTTGCGTCTCAGTTGTTTCCGGACGAGGTCATAACCTTTATAAACGAAAATTTTGTGCAATTGCAATACAGTTTTATTATGATGTTCCAGGTGTAATCGGTGTAAATAGGACCTAAATCTACTGTATTAAAAAACGTTGCGTTATTATTCAAGAATAATAATTGAATAGAATAAGTGAAAAGTTAGCATTAGGAAAAAACTTTTTCAATGCAAATTTCTCACACTTACCTATTTGTTACACTTAAACATGACCTTATCAGGGAATCATGTATTATTAATTATGTAACTAATTTCATTGTTTAATTTGTATTTTATAATATAATAATAATTGCAAATAATAAAATTAAAAAAATAAATAATTATTAATATAATAATGTAAATCTACCTGCCGCACAAATTATTCCCTGATAAGGTTATTTTCCCTCTATTCCCAGTAGTAATCTGGTCAGAGAAATAAAGAGCAATAAAAAGCTTTCAGTGCGAAACTTTTGTGTTCGAACTTTCGATCAGCTGATCAGCATACTAAATGTACTTAGATACACCGTAAAATAAAAAAAATAGGCATCCGATCACTTAATAACCACAGGATCAAAACCTGAAACTGCAGAGGCTGTATATGTTCTGGTAATTAAACACAATATCTACCAAAAAAGTATTATATAAACCAAACACCAAATAAAACCACAATTTCTGATTGAAATAATGTATTTAATTACATTTATCGAAATCAATAAAATATTTATTTTATTAGCCTACATTTGATTACAAAAAATATTTTTCCTATGATAGAAAATATAATTCATACATTGCATTACATATTGCTAAATTATAATAAATCAACCACAATGTTTTAATAACATGAAATAATTAAAATTAATTATATTTACAATATTCTCATAGTCACTTAAATCAAAATACTTCTAATGAAATTGACTATTTTAGATTTCATATTTATATTAAGTCTTACAAATAATTATGTCATGTTTTGTAGATAGCTACCGTTAAAAGAAACATAAGCTGTTTAGTACATGACAAAACTAAACAAAGCAACAAAACGGCAAATATTAAATTGGCAGAAACTTTTGTTTTTTTTTTAATATCACGATGTTATTTTACGAAAATGGCGATAGTTTTCAGATTATTAAAAATATCTTAATTGACTTACGGTTAGTTATGCTGTATGCACCATGTCTTAAGTTAACACGGATAAAAAATATAATTTTATAATTGACTACCTATTTGTTGTAATAATGTATAGGAAATCTGTCATACAGTGCGTGAGGAATACTTTAGTTTGATCAATGGTCATAGAATTTTGGGAAATTTTAGTAATTTATTCTTAAAATCTGGTAACAATGATTTGGCATTGCTGCTAGTGCGGGTACCCTGTTGTATACATTTTTTATAAACACGACATTAAGTGTTAGGAATAATTCAGAAAAAAATCAGTTGGCACATAAGAAAATTATCCCAATTAGGGGCCGTCCATTAATCACGTGATGTATTTTTTGGCATCAATACAGGAAGAAGTATCATATTGGTCTACTTTTAGTATAGAAAATTGAAGACTACAAAAATAACGTATAGAGGTAGACAGAAAGTTTTTGAATGACATAAAAATTATGAAAGAAATGCGAAATACTTTTTTGTACTTATTTAATGTACAGTATCATCGGAACACGGAAATACACGTGATATATTACTGCACTCCCTCCCCACCCCCTCTTCCCCCTTGTGATATTTCGTGATTTGAACCCCTTACCCCCCTTTCAAGCCCCACGTGAATAATGGACAGCCCCTTAGGTGTGGTAAATAAGTTACGTATATAAAAAAACGAACATGTGTTGTTCACATGCGATAGAAGTGAAACCTACAAAAATGTGAACACATAAAAGTCCTTCATGACTATGTACGTCTTAAAGACAACACCTTTGTTAAAATTCAACTCTCTAGATCAAAATTAAATATTTATAATACTTAAATTGTTCCGAAAAATGAATACTAGCTTGATAGCTTGATAAAAGAAAAAAAATGAAAACGTGCGTTATGTTTACAGACATTATTAAACTAATCACTTTAAATGAAACATTAATATACTATTTAGTTTAAGTTATATTTTTCACAAATAAAAATATATTACTTGCTTTATTACTTAGACACCAAGTTTCAAAAATGTACTTGCGGTCGCACACTCCATCTGAGGAATTTGAAGCAAACTATTTTAAAGGTTACATTATTTAAAGCACGCATGCTTATATGCTAGTTTTGCTTCAAAACCACTGGCGTTATTGTATAAGAAAATGCTTAATTTCTCGATAGATGGCGGTACTAAAACGAGTTAAAAAACAAATTATTTACATAATTTACAAAGATTAGATAGATAGAAGCTATGTAGCGATTAACGAGCAAGAAATAAACTGTAATAAACATATTAGAATACACGATATCTATTGAATAAATATTGTACAACGTCATATACATTATATAACTATTCAAAATTAGTTAATTGAAGCTTTTGTAGTAAGGGAATCAGAAAAAACTACGATAAAATGATCAGCTAGATCCGAGAAAAAAAAGTTAATTTTATAAGTTGACCCGACCGAGGATCGAACCCGGTACCCCGCGAGATTGCGGGGTTGATTAATTACAAAAAAACTGCCGTATTTTTGCGATAGACATAAAAATGATGGAAAAAAACTCTACAAACGTATAATGCGAACAAAACATCACGGTTGTTGTGATGCTCTCTCTCTTTTCTCAAGCTTTGTACACTCCCAAACGTCCCATGACAGTTGAGCTTGAGCGTCCTCTGTAGGCGGTCCTGTTTTTTGCTCATTAGCACGCTTTAGAAATTTAGAAAGCATCGTTATCGCTGCTTGTAGTATCTTTAGTTTATGCAAAATATGTAGATGGCGTTGTGAATAAAAATGCAATGCTCTCTGAATTATTGAATATTTTTTTACATTTGTTCGCTCCGCGAAAAATGGTGATGTCGTGGAGGTTTCAACCGAAATGACCCCAACTTTGTAGTAAACACTCTTTTTTCGTTATTTAATTTTAAAGTGCGATATATCCACATGTTCTTCAAGATTTACCCGTGCCAGTGATGTGAAAAATCATAGTTTTATTTGCGTTACAATTAAAAACCTACAAAAATGTGAACACGTAAAAGCTTTATTTGTAACCAGCTATTTTCATTCTTCTTTTGTTATGTAATTCTTATTTTACGTTATTCCGAAATATTTATTTATGAAAAATTACTGTAATAGAAAGGTAAGGATAACAACTTAGGCATCTACCAAACGTTTAATAATTAACTATTCAGATATTGTAAAATACTGGGCGAATTTCTTCTTTAATTTCTAAACTTAAATTGTTTCCAAAAATAAATAATAGCTTAATAAAAGAAAAAATAACAATTTAAAAAAATAGTGAACTACAGATCAGTTGATGTCGACCACAAGACCGTTACCGTTTGGCTATCCGTCTATAATGGAAAATGACAAAATTATGGATACCTATCTTGTGTCAAATACTCTACTTCCGTTTCATCGAATCTGAAATCACAAAGGTGCTACACAATTTTTCACTTCAAAAATATGCAGTATTGTTAGTATTTGATATTTATTAACAGATGTCACAGATAACTGTATTGATTTCGTTTTATGACTAAATAAATAAAATAAACGCTTTTGAAATTAATTAATGATTTCGTTAAAATTTTGAAACTTGATTATCTTCGTTTTGGGTTAATGATATACTTTGTTTGGTAAAAAACCTGATAATTTTATATTAACTTTCAATGTTTTTTTATAAAGTAATTAATTACTGCGTGTGTTAAGTAATGTTAAACGAATTGTAAAGTATATAAAACATTATCTATTTCACGGTTGTATTATTTTTTATTTTGTGGCTTTACTCTAGAATGCGAAAATGGCAATAATACAAAATGTATAAAACTACAACAAATATTCACTTACCATCGTGGTCATTCATGCTATGAAAATAATGTGCAACAAACATCTTTAAAGTAGTTTAGAAAATCTGTTTTTAATGTATAAGTAATTATTTTTTTATTGTAATCTGAAATAAATTTATGACAGCAGTGTTAGAACCCTTATTATTCTAATAATTATCTCTATCTGCCTTAAAAAATTTTAAATCATCTCTGTGTACTATATACATGTGCACATTCTTAGAATCTGATAAATAATTGGCAAGCCTTATATCATAATTATTATTAATAAGATTCTGTAAAATAGGTATATCTACATGAGATACTATTTAAGCTACCCTCGCTTATATCTGTACATACAAAAGTAAGTAAACCGCTTATTATTCGATCACATAGTAACTCTGGCTTAATATAACAAAAAACAATTTCCTTTGCAAAATGCAAAAAAACTGACGATCTGCAAACCAATACGTTTTCATATCAAATTCAACTCAATTTAACATTTTAAGGTTAACCGTGCTAAGAAACATTGCAAACTCAGTCGATGTGCAACGGTTGGCATAAAAATGTTAACTTCGACAAGACATTCGAAATTAAAAAGCACACCACCACGGAAAGCGCTCAGTTGCTTCTGCCCTGCCACTATATTACAACCTATAACTATCATACATTCTCTCCGGAGAAATCATTCGTTCACTAGAAGGTTGCATCCCACCCGGAAAGGTCGTCGGGTGGTGGTTCGTCACCGTCTGGAGGGTATTGGTCGAAGTTGTGAGTGTCGATTGCTGATTTGACTGTTGGAGTGATTGGCGGATCCAGAGTACGCTGCGCAAGGCCCTCCCAATTAAAGCCATCGAACCATCTGGAAATAGTGAAATATAAATAAATAAATATTACCCACACTCACACCAATTAGCCTAGCCCCAAAGTAAGCACTGTAAGGCTTGTGTTATAGGATGCTAGGGTGACGGATAGAATACATTTACATACAGTACATATATAAATATAGAAATACATATTAAACATCCATGACTGGAGTGCAAACAAACATCTGCCCCCACCGGGATTGGAACCCGGGACCTCCCGAGTCGGCGACACCATGAAACCCTGCGTACAAACCACTCGGCCTCGGAGTTCGTCAAATGTGTCAAATATGTCATTCATAATAATTTATGTACTACTAGTCACTACAATTTGGGATTAACTTTCTTTTTATATCATCATATTTTTTTTTAATCTCGTAGAATAGCTGTATAGTATGGCAACTAAATAATTAACTCTTAGTTATTGGGAACAATGTTATGCTATTGTTAATAATGCGGAATAGATGAAGACCTTGTATCTATAAAAGATTATTTTATGATATATTTTATTTTATGATAAATGTTTGATTTTTAAAATTCTGACAGACGGATTTGGCTGAAGTTAGGTGGGATTAGGAAAGTACAGGAAGATGTGAGTCAGTGACGTGGTTAATTCATCCATTTTGTTTGATATTGTCACCGAAATATAATACATTCCGTAGGTTTATCAATTTCCTAGTAAATTTATCAACTTTTGTAAGAATATAAATGAGAGATAAAATGTATTATCTTACGTGGACATTTTTGTAAATTTATCAATTTACGACGTCTCGCGGTAAATTGATAAACTAACTTAAAAGTTCAAGCCGATCAAGGTAAAATTCTAAGTATCGTGACCAATCCCAGAACAGAGTTTAATTTTACGTCATTTAAGTAAAATAGTACACAGCTTTCTGATTGATCGCCGTTAGCGACTTTGGTGCTGGCCGCCATAGATTTAGCACTTTTTTCGGTAGCGGCCACCGAAGTGCCAGAAAAAATTGTGTGTGTCAGCTCCGACGCACGACTGGAGTTTACTCCTTAAGTTCGATAGTCTAACCAGACGCAAAAAGAGTTTATTTACTTAAAAAAGATTGATACTGTATGAAAGGGTAAATTAACAAATTAATGAAAATAATATACATATATAAATATATATTTATTCATTTCATATACATTTATTATAACTAATCGACGAAATATTTTACATTAAACTTTTTACAATAGTCAATTTTAGATGTGCATAAATATATCATTAGGAATGTTGATAAATTATGTAATTATTATTAGCAGACTATTATCATTTTTTTAAATATTAATTAAATCAACAGTGTCTGCATTATTAATTACAGTGACAAGTGGTTTATAGTAACTAAAATAAGACACATGGACGTTCGTAGATACGTGGTTCACGAATCTTGAAAATACCGCATCAATGGTTGTACCATACCTCGTTGTCCCCATTGCTCTATCAGAAACAATATCTAAATTCAGTTCAGATTTTAAAATTTTTATTAATGTCAATCCGTCATCTTTGTCAAAGTTGCGCGACATAGGATGCGCACCAAAAACGTAACGCGGTCATTCATCGATAGATTTTACTCCTCACATTTTTCTCATACCGGGCCCCTTATAAATGCAAATCGATTCTTAAGGAGTAAACTCCAAAAAAAACTGAAAAGGTATCTTTTAACGAGAACTTTTCTACAAAGAAAAAATAAGTACCACCTCTTGGGCCCTGGAAGTACAATCATACCCTATAATACCTTCGTCACATTTTTTAATTTTTGTTCGGTCCATTCCGACTTTTCACTGGTTTGGTCATGTCCACTATAAAACACGTACACTCCATCCATGTACACTATATTTTGTATCTCTATGAAAATATTTTTGTTCATCAACTAACGTATTATTTTACGGCTAAGCTCAGTAAATTGATCAATTTACGAAAGTGCTCCCGTAAGATAATACATTTTATCTCTCGTTTACAATCTTACGAAAGTTGATAAATTAACTAGGAAAGAGATTTACGTAGGGAATGTATTATATTCAGATGACATACAATATCATTGAATATTTTCGGCAAAGTTCATCAAGGTACCTTCCTTTCTTTTTAGAGCGTAAAGTAACCTCTGCTGATATGTCATTTTAAGGTATATGTGGGCCGATCCCGGCGGCACTGCAATGCCGGGCCGACCCGTGACGAGAGTGGAGCGAGCCCCGAACATCTCGTCGGATTACAAAAATCAGTTTAATATACTGGTCCCTCAGTGAGGGAACTTTCAGATATTAAGCTGAAAAGAACAGATACTACACTTTGATCTTAGCCAAAAGGCCGAGAAGCGATGTCGAAACAAACTTGCACGGACGTCTTATGTGAGCGTCGGAAGATTTCGACACCGCCATTCAGGAATCGTACTAGCTAGCGCCATCTAGTGAGAGTTACGGAAATTATGGAAGCACTTTGATGCTATTGATTATCACTAGATGTCATTGTTGGTCAAATAAGGATACCAGATTGATTTTGTCCTGTTTACTTTTTCGCTTCTATGATGCCTCCACCTTTTCTTGTGAGAATTTATCTGTATCATCGTAATATCACTCACATCTTGTGCTTTTGTATCTCAGTGATACCAACTTGCTTGTAGCCTAGCCGTTTTGCCGGGTTTTCGCGGCACAGTTTCTTTATGAGGTTGGCGGCGTTCCTTATTATCCCGTTTACTAAAGTGCGTTATTATGATGCCTCCCCTGTGCTAGACTTGTCTAAATTAAAAATTCTTCTAAATATATTACTCACTTGTGCTTTTGTATCTCAGTGATACCACCTCGCTGGTAGCCTAGCCGCTCGGCCGGGTTGTCGCGGCACAGTTTCTTTATGAGATTGGCGGCGTTCCTCGTGATGCAACGCGGAAATTCGACTGCATCGATTCCCTTCAATATCTTGTTGTATATCTTCATAGGATCAGCACCGGTGAACGGCGGCGAACCAGTGAGTAGTTCGAACATGAGTACACCTGAAAAATTTTAGACCATAAATTGTGAGGATGTTATATCTGTCAAAGGATGATTTGATTTGAGTTTTAAAGATATTGCGAAAACACGGATAAACTAAGCAATGGTGACCCACACTATGGTTGAGTAGCGATCACCCTATTAAACATATTAAATATCAAAATATATTCTACTCTAAATTGTGTAATGTCATCAATGTCATCTAAAAATACGATAGCATTAAGTAATTTATTCCTATGACAGTTGCAGAGTTACGAGGTCGCTAAAATAAAATTCTTGAAATAACCTTGGTCCTTGTGTAGATCTTACATTATTCATATTATCTTGTCACATCGCTTGTGTCTGTATAATGTTATGATCAGTCACGATTTCTTTTTAAATAATTTTCTAACTCTATTTTCTAGGTCCAGTTGAAATGCGTTGGAACCTCGTCGTCTAGTAGGTGTTTATTATCATTATTACTAAAAATAATGTACTGGTAATTTTTACAATTACCAGTACATTATTTTTAGTAATAATGAATGATCCAGTCACTGTCCCTGTCCAGTTTTATTTTTCCAACACACACCAATTAGCCTAGCCCCAAAGTAAGCACGGAGAGAATACATATCAATGGCTAAGCCTCCTTAAAACACGATTCCTACCGGCTTCCCTTGGCAGATTCTAATACAAATACATTCATTCTAATACATTCTAGCACAAGCGATCAATGACGTTTAAAAATGTTAATGCATGCGACATTATTAAATTGCGCGCTTTGTTAAAATATTCTTCAATATGCTGGATACAAAATACGCAATATATTTCCGATCCGCGCCGCGGTAGTAGGCTGCATAAGCCGCTAATATTATTGTGAATTCAAATAAATAAAATGTTAGCACTTCACGTAATTACTACCACATACTATCTAAGATCGGGTTATACTCGTCGGTATAACCCGATCTTAGATAGCCTGTAATCTTTATTTTTCATGTGTTAAGGTTTCGTTTCGCTTGAAGCTTTCGACCAATCAGATCTCGCCAAGCGGCGCGGCGGCGCGGCGGTCGGTCTGTTATGTCAACTGAGGTCATTATTTCGCGCGCATTCGCATGGACGGATTCGTATGCTTATTTATCTATTGTGATAAGTGATTAGATTGATTGTGGTACCTATATACCTAGTTTATAAAAATCCAAATTAGTGAAATTTTAATTGCCAAGTGTTATGTTTAATGTTGTGTTTTGTACGGCTTTAAACGTGTGCTTTAAACGGCTTCTTTAAAACCACTTTTATCATACTCGACATGCACTGTTCATATAATACGAGTGATGTCATGTATGGTGAGGTTGGTGTACACTAACAACTGTACACCAAGCATATTCCGTCGCATGAAAAATCTGCATACAACGCAACGCAAGCACCATACCCAACACTTCGCCGTAGTTTTGGGAAAGGTGAACTAACACACTATTATTAGGTATGTAATTTATTGCATGTTTTTTTTACAAATTAAGATATGACGTTTTGCTTATTCACGGGTTTTTTGGTCCGGCTTTACCTTTCTATTTTTTCACCCCATGCCACTGCTACATATACTCGTATAAGTATATATTTTTTTTTAAATCCAACACACACCAATTACCCTAGCCCCAAAGTAAGCACTATAAGGCTTGTGTTATGGGATGTTAGGTTAACGGATAGAATACATATACTGTACATAAAATAGTATATTTATATAGAAATACATATTAAATATCCATGACTGAAGTACAAATGCTCGTATTCATTACACAAACATCTGCCCCCACCAGGATTCGAACCCGGGACCTCTCGAGTCGGCGACACCATGAAACCCGGCGCACAAAACACTCGGCCACGGAGGTCGTCATAGTTTATATTTTGGAAATAAAATCGTCAAGGAAGATTACTGCAAAACTCTGCTCTCCACTGAGGGTTATTAAAGCGATCATATATTTGCTGTTTTCTACAATCTTTTCTTTTTTTTTCTAATCAGTGTCTTTAGACAAAATATGGAGTAACTAATCCAAGCTTATTCTTCGTTCATTAATAAGGGGGTTTTTGTGTTATCAAATAAACTTCAAATTCTCTTACCTAAAGACCAATAGTCCGCGCTGATGTCGTGGCCCCTATTCATGATGACCTCCGGCGCCACGTACTCAGGCGTGCCGCAGAACGTCCACGTTTTGCGGCTAGCTTGCAGTTTCTTCGAGAAACCGAAATCCACTAACTTCACGTAACCCTTCGAGTCTAGCAGTAAGTTCTCTGGTTTGAGATCCCTGAAAAAAGAATAAGATTTTTAGTAAAGACTAGATGTACTTTGTATCACCCATCGCTAAAATAGTTCAAATGTCAAATGTTTCACAGGAAAGTAGGTAGAACAGTTTACATGGGAAAATGAAATTGTTGTTTTTACTATTTTCCTCGCAATTTTTCCATATTTTCTCACCGTTTAAACCTGGACTACGTCAAACATTTCAAAAACCAACGCAGCTTAATCGGAGTTTTAGCGATACAAACAAACAGCAATTGATTATTTTATATATAGAAGATGTAGTCTAACTTAACTTTGCCAGCCTATTAGCAAACTTTTTGAAAATATTACACTGAGCAACTAATGAGCAAATTGCATATAATTTGATGCTTTTCAGGACAAGTACTTTAGTGGCGTTACAATAAACCAGTTGTGGATCAGTAAAGAGCTCTTTGACTATCACTTTTATCTGCCAAAAACCGTTAGCCTACTGTTAGTTGTTTATATTGTAATTGTCATATTTAAATCTTACCTGTAAATAATATTCCTAGAATGTAAATAATGGAAGGCTTCAACAACACACGCAGTATAAAATCGAGTTGTGGCATCGTCAAATTGTCCTGCAATACAAAAATTTAACAAAATTAGCAACACGATCAATTTCCTTTCTAAAGTCAAGAAAGTAAGTTCAGTTTGGTAATTTTCGTCGTCTGGAAGGTAGTTAGCTTACCTCTATCTCTTAAAATAGTCCACAGTTCACCACCTAGACAAGTTTCCATGAGCATGTATAAATATTTTCTATCTTTGAAAGTTTTGAAGAGTTTCACTATGAATTCGCAGTTCATCTCCGACATGATCTCCTTCTCTGACATGATGTGTTGTTGCTGTCTCGTTTCAACGATCTGGGCCTTCTTCATTTGCTTCAGGGCGAACGATCGACTCGAGTCCCCTTGTATCTGAACTAATTCCACTCGGCCGAAACCACCGATTCCTAGAGTAGCAATTATCCTTAAGTCCGATAGGCGTAAATTGGCGAATTCTTCGTTCAATCTGTAAAGTAATAATATATTTGTTAAATACATATTGTTTTCCGTTTACATCTGCCTAGATAGAGTGAACCTTGTTAATGGGAAATGTGTTTTTGTACATATTTCGAAAAATTGAGTGTAAACTAAGTGGGCATTTGACGTCAAGTTGCGGATATAGTGCTGTTCATTTATCTTATTTATTATATACCTTAAAGTAATTGTCAAGTCCTTGTTAAATTTGTAATGCAGATTTAAGCTAATAATTCACAATGAAAATATTCTAAATAACTAAGAGACTAATTTGAAAAATCCTGGTATGGTTTGTCAGAACAATAGGTAAACTACAGTACAAAGAAGTTTCTCTTTAGACAAAAAATTTGAGTTTATAAATCTTTCAAAGAATTATTACTGTTACAAATCTGACTACAGCTTTCTTAGCATCGTTCCAATTTTAATTGTTATGTCTTCGTCTGCCACGTGCCTATCTATTACAAAGTCTCTGCTATTGTCTCACAACGAATTGAGATGAATAAAAACTTGGGAATCGCACTTTTCACGGTCGTAGCCTCTGTTAATCTATGTTTTCTATGCCGAAGAGGAAAGTTAATAACCATCAATTACTTCCAACGTCTAATTACATTTTGACATTGACGATTTGATTTCTCGAAGAAAGTGTTGGAACTAATATATCACTTACCACATTGTGACAAAATCCTCGTGATTGTTTGCGTTTAAAAGAAACAGAAAGGATTATAGAAGGTGAAATCAAGACATTATGTTTCATTCGTACTTATACTAAAATTACCTATTGTTTGGGAAAAAAAAGATAAATGCCGACACAATGGAGTTGCACTGCATTGCATACAAAAGAAGTCTATTGTAAAGCGTATCACTACTAGTTAAATTTGGACATTTTATGAGAGGTCTATATGGAGTTCACTGGAAATGGTTATTTTTATATAACAAACAATAGATATAATTCGTTAACACGTTCCCAGTTCTTGAATAGAGGGTGATTATTCATAGTACAGTAATCCTTATGATTTTATTGATACCTATTATTATACTTATAATAATTCAAACGTGTGTTGCGATGTAACACTATGTATGTAACACTTAGTTTGCAAATAAAGAGGAACTATGTTCTTGGAGGAAGTATTTCAGTTCAATTAAACAATCATTGACTTACTCGAGCGGTACCTATAAAATACTTTCAATTCCATTATATGAAAGGTTTCTATAAAACTAAAATGACTTTATCAGGCTATTACTTTGCTTGCTATTATGTTTCATAGAAATAACAAAACCGGTTTAATAGAGTATGATAATTAAAGTTTTTGTTATAGGTTCAATGTAGTAAAAAAATTAAAGACAGAAGAATTACCTAATCACGCAAACAGAAAACAAGAAACCATGGGGAAATGAATGTATCAGAGTATCTCACCTCTGTCTACTCCCGCCTTCGTCCTTATACTTGGTGCGGATTTCGTCGAGGGCAGATATCAGCTGGTTGAAGGTCTCGCGGTCTATGACGAGGCAAGTGCAGCCTTCTGGCGAGTCGCAGATGATGTTTGCCGTGCGAAGGTCATCCCTGAAACGGAAAAAGGTAATAATTTAAATATAACATTACATTTCAAAATATTTTAATACTAGTACAATAAGATAAAGTATTTAGTTTTTTAATATGGTTCACACTTTTATACTTTTGTACTATAATGAAGAATAATAAAATAGCGTAAACGATAGCTAAGCTAACTGTAATTTCGTCAGTAGACAGCAAATGCAACTTCCAACAAATTACTAACATTAAAAACTAATTTTCCATACAAAAATTATGGTAAAATTCTATAAAAATTAAGAATATTTTCCGAAGCATTTAAGACAACTACAGTCTGGCGAACTAACAGAAATATTTTTAGACGAATACAACATAAAAGTAAAGCCAATTTGAGATCAACACAATTAATTGAGTTTAAAAAGTGATCTTATGATGTGGTATCTACTTACAATGGGATGCATACATACTAATATTATGAATGCGAAAGTAATGTCTGTCAGTTTGTTAAAACCGCGGAACCAATAATAATTAATGTCGGCATGGAAATAACAGGTAGCTTGTATAAATACTTTATACTACTTCTTGTCTCATAAATGAAATTTGGAGGGGGTGAAATAGAAATCGGAAGTTTGTAAACTAAGGAAATCAATCATTACTAACATCTCTTTTTGTTTGTGAACATGAATACAGCCTTGTTTAAGAGCAATTCAAATGGTAAACCACAGATGTATTACATGCACTACAAAAAAGGAAAACATCGAAATGAAAAAGAAATAGATTAGCTTCGAAATCTAAGAATATTACCAACCAACAAATGGACTTATAATTGAATCTGGTGCAAGGCGAGCGGATCACCGTTCACGATTCGCGATGGCATTAGTTTCAAATCGAATACATACCCTTGCAATGCTTTTTCTCCGAAGAAATCACCTTTCGTGAGAGTTCTGATGAATTTCTCATCGTTGCTGTTTGGCTGTTTCTGGGTCACCTTAACCTGAAATAGATTTGAAACCAATCAAGAACATTAGTAATTGGCAATTGAATTTGTTGTTATCGGTACTAATCATATTTAACGATATCTTAATATTCTCATCAATATCGATATTTCATATACCTACTATAGATATCTACATTGCTTTAAAGAAACTTGCCTTGCTAGCCAGTAAACCGGTTACTCACTGTTAATTCTGTAATTTTTATGTAGGTAAGTTACTTATTAAATATTTATCATTACGACCTGCATGTCGTCATCTAAAAGCATTTATTTGCAAAAAATATCCTGGACTGAATAAATCTACCACTTTTTATAAAATACCACCATGCATGTGAGAATAGTGTGTCATATGAAAAATTCTGAACATTTTTACTAAAGTCCACAACACAGAACAACGGGTTAAGTAGGATCAGCATTACTTTATAATATACGACGTGAAACAACACGGACAGTTATCATTACAGCCCAGACGGACGACATGTTTGACTACCTTAATAATGTGTCTTAAAGTACACCATGAGACTCATTTCTTATATATTAAAATTACCAGTTCCGTTGGTTTTCCATCTAATTAGCTTGCCAATGGTTGGATTAGGACTGAAAAGTATACTGGTATCAACTTTAACGACTCTAATAAACACTATATAAACTACAATGCAACCTAGTCACCTACTTAACATGGGGTGAACTATCTTGATCTTGTTTAGTTCTTAGTACAGCCGAGTGTTTTTGTCATTCTTCTCCACTTTTTGCTATCATTAAAAATCCTCGATCAGTAAGAGAGAATTTGTTTTCTTATCAAACGATATCTACGATTATTCATATGCATATACATACTTGAACAAAGAACCCGGAAATGACAGTACACGAGAATAAATGTAAGACAGCACAGTACAAAACCTCAAATATAAATGAGATAACGACGGAAATGAGATAACATGGCGTTAAGTAACAGTCGCCGAGAGCAATACAAACTGGACATCGTGAGAGAGAAAAACAAATCTTGAGCTTCGTCACGGCTGAATAGCCGTGCCCAATTTTGGACTAAAACTAGATTCGACGAAACCGAATCTGAAAAAACAAAAAAGACACTGTCGAGTTTGGCCTTGTCTCGAAACTAAGTAAGTTTCAATATTGAAACAAAATCCGTTTATTGAAAATAAATGACGGATTTCTTGTGAACTGCAAAAACGGCTCGTTTATATGCGTATAATGTCCTCCAACTAGGGCACAGGCAGATTCTTATGGGCGGAATACAGGAGAATGGGCTCTCATCAAGTAGTACTAGTGTAGATTAGTTCATTCAGGAGGTTTAACATGCCTTCTGAAGCACGGAGGATCTTAATGTAATGAATTTTGGTCGCCTTTTTTATTTTCATCATCATCAAGCCCCTTAATAAGAAATCGTTTATAAGTTTTTAATTATGTACGCTATAAAGACTACAATAGAATGAGTATTTTGTTTCTCTACCCAACAGGTATTTACTCATTCCAATGATTATTACTAAACGCACCGTGATCGACCACAGTGATTTTCCCAAATTATGGTTTACAGATTATAAATTGCGTCAATGATTTATACTTTCTCTGTCACTCATCATTATTTTTGTTTCTTCAAATTCAGTTCATTTTTGTGCACGCAACAACGGAAGCTCTCGATAAATGGACTCTCAAATACAAAAGATTTTCTTTATTTTGAACCCAAAAATCCTGAGATTTGCGCATTTAACCAAATAAACAATCTCTTCAGATCAATAATGAACTCAATAATATCACTTATATAGGATTTTTACCCAATATCGTAAGCATTCTTTTGAGTTCACAAAATCATATTAATTCGGTAGGTATGTAGTCTCACCTGGGTAGTAATTCTTACTATTATTGACTAAAATTGTCTAAAAATTGCAAAAGCAGACTGTTCCCACAGTAGTTATAAAAAAATCTGGCCTTAAAATATCTCATACGCATAACCCTGCGCTCGACGGCCGGTGCGCTGACCTTGTGGGTACAGCACAATAGCCCGGCTTTTGGCCTCTGCAGCCTCTATGCGGGTTACAGAGAAAAAATCCGTCACACGTACTGACAGTGGCTGATTGCCGGATTACGACGAACTAACTACACGTTGATAGATTTGGCGATAATCCAACACTAAAAAATAGTTCCTTTCTTTACGAGGAAGCCTAAATAGTTTACGTTAAAAATTAACTACATCCACTGTGCCTAATTTTCTCAACAAAGTCAGATGATTTCAAATCCACAATTAATTTCATTTTAAAACTAAATAGTTTACGTTGTAAATGAACTACATGCACTGTGCCTAATTTTCACAACAAAGTCAGATGATTTCGATTCCACGGTTAATTTCATTTTAAAACGAATTCGCAATCACGCGAATCTATTCTTAAAGATACCCAAATATGGTCAAATCTTGAACTGAAGACTTCATTTCATTAAATAGATTGACAATGGTGTCGATTCTGGCACGATTCTCTAAATCTAAACTTAAATTTGACAACAGTATATCCTTGACATTCTCTATACAGAATGAAAAGGAGAGACTAATGTTAAATTTAGTTTTAAGTTTAGAGAATCACGCCAGAATCGACACCATTATCAATATATGAAATCTATTTACAAATACAATAACTTTGTAAAATTGAAAATGTATTCAAGAAATTGATAGTAACAATCATGGTTTGCACAAATACATACTCGATTAAATGCCAAGGCAAACTTCTTATACAGTCACTGTCGGACACGAAACAGTATTATGCCAATTCTACAAACTAAACCTTACGGCGTGAATAATATAAGTGCAAAACCATCTAGAGGCCGTTTAGAAAGCTAATGTAATTCAAATTGAAATGAAATCCAGCCAAAATGTTCAAAGAACCGTGGCCAAAACAAAGAAGTTATGTCATAAGTTTTGAAAGCAATGTTATGTTTGTTACAGAATAAACATACTATGAACATAATTAATGCAATACCTACATTTCCGCTTGTAAGAAAAATACTAAAAAGTTTCAAGTTTGTACATTTCCAAAAACCTAATAAAGTTTAGCAATAAAAGACACTTTTTCAACTCTTTTCAACTTTTCCGAAAAGCCCGATAAGGCAGTTTTCTTGGTTTCTTTATACATAAATATACATTTTTTTATAACAGATTTATATAAATGATGTCAAGATCTTGAATTGAAAGTAAGGAGATGGGCGAAAGTGAATATGTTCTTCTTACTTAGGAATGTATGCGTGGTGTCAAAGAATTTCTTATTACCACAATGTCATCGAAGTTAACAAGATAACTGATGATTCATTCATGATTCAGTGTTTTATCATTTCATTCGTATAATATTTTGTTCCGACTATATTAAAATTGAAAACTATATAAAAATGCTAAATAATTACTTGAGCTGTGTAATTGCAATATACCATAAATCTTTGCCTTTAAATTTGCATTCATTTAGAATGGATAGTTTCGTTTGTCTATAATTTATTATTATTATTATCATGGTAATTTATTGTGTAATTTTACATCAGTATTATTTGATTTGTTCCTTATCGTTTTATCAAGATTCTTCATTATTGGTGCGACATAATTACCTGTCCTTTAGATATGATGAAGAAGGTATCTCCTCGAGCTCCTTGCCTAATGATATAGTCGCCATTCTGGTAGTGTGTTTCTTCCAGCACGTCTGATATCTTGATTAATGTATCTTCTGGAAGATCCTTGAAGATTGGCACACTGTAAATAAAAAACAAGTTACCGGCAAGAAACTTTAAAGTACACTGAAATTACTATATATAATGTATGGAACAGTCTACAGTTTTACACGTGGCATTTATTATTTTAAACTAACTTCACCACTTACAAAGATTTGGAAGAAATGATGGACCCGAGTCTACCGTGCCGACGGGACGAACGTCAAATGTTTGACATGAAAGTAGATAGAACAGTTTATATGGGATGATGAAATTGTTGTTTGTACTATCTTCCTCGCAACTTTTCCAAATTTGGTCACCATTTAGACCTTCCCTGGACTACGACAAACATTTCAAAACCAAAATCAGCTAAATCAGCCTAGCCGTTCTCAAATTTTAGCAAAACAAACGAACAGAAATTGGTTTTTTAATATATATGTATATAGAGAGAAGCTGGTATTGTCCAAACAAAGAAATTTCTTAAATAATTAGTAAATGACAACTACTGCAGAGGAAAATACAATTATTTGCAATCGCAATTTTTTCAAACAATTTCATAAATTATCTGTTTTTAGTAGATAGCATTTTCCTACTATTTAAGTAAGATTTAACACGTAAAATCATATCACGATATGATAACTGTTATTTATGTATTTTTCAAGAAGGCATACCTTTTTTATTTAATGTGTTAAATCAAATATGTTATATGAAATATTATTACGATAACAATGATGCTCGTTGTCATTTTAAAAAATCTAGAAAATAATGACAAATGTTACAAAAAAATATGTTCAAACCTGGAGAGGTTAAAAACTAGTCGCAACAATTTATCACGTGTTCTGAATAGAAAGCACTTCTATGTTTTATGGGCATAGAATGTTCTTAACGATTCAATTTTGTTAGCCTTACTATTTACATCCTTATGTCATCACTTATATTAGATGTATTTAACTTTATTTATAATGTCATAAACCAGTTTTACTATCTCTATAGATATCAAGGCTATCCTCATATAATGTAACTTTAGAGCTTTAGAATTACTAGTCAATCCAGTTACCAATAAATTTTCAGTAATTAGGAAGAGTACAAAACTATCAAGTTAGTTTTTGCTTGATAACTGACGTAAAAGCTAATATTCGACGTAATTAGTTGCGAATTCAAACAGAATACAGGCAAGGTAATTAAATAATTTGTAGTATTGAAAGTGAGCGTGGTTACCCAACTCGATACGGTCAAGTTTGAAAGGCTTCCTCTAATGAATGACTCACGCACAATCTCCGTTCAAAACCGGTCTGCTACAGTTGAAAATATTATACTAAAACACAAATTTACGCTAACGTCTTTATAATGATATCAGTAGGTTAACTGATAACATTATCTATCTATGTATGTATAAAACTCAAAGGTGACTGACTGACTGACATAGTGATCTATCAACGCACAGCCCCAACCACTGGACGTATCGGGCTAAAATTTGACATGCAGGTAGATGTTATGACGTAGGCATCCGCTAAGAAAGGATTTTGATCAATTCTACCCCCAAGAGGATAAAATAGGGAATGAAAGTTTGTATGAAACTTTGTCAATTTTAAACCGATCGGGCTGAGACTTTGCTTGCAGGTATAAGAAGAATCATAGATGAATATCATTGTGTATAATACAAGCCTGAGAACAAAAACTGTAGTCTATACTTCAGCTCTACACCGAAGCGAAGCGAAGGCGGACCGCTAGTTTCTTATAAAGCAGTGATTATACAGCATGAAAGCAGTGCTTGCAAAAAGATATTGCATATTTTTAAACGGGCACTATAGAGAAGAAAAAATGTAACTGTATGTCACGGTATGTGCTGAAGAAGATTGCTTAATGCATCCAATTTTTCACGGTTACCACACTTTGACCCATTTATCTAAGAAAATGTGTAACTGTTAGAGTAATTTACGCACTATGAAGGATCTTGTACTGTTGGGTTGGGTTGTGCTGTATGATGTTTATTATTAGGTTTTGCTTTTGTTTGCTTTTTTATCATGCATTCTTAGTGGAATTATTGCACCTTTGTACACGTATGCAGGTAACATGATTAATAACCGTGTATGTTTTGTTTACAAATTAAAAAGTAAGATAACGTTTTACAGAATAATATCATGTGCGAAGAGATATTTTACAAATATGGAGTTTTAATTTAGGATGCCAGAAAACTATAGATATGCATTTGTTAGAACATAATCAATTTAACTGTGTCGAGGTTGCTGGCAACAATGAGTACGTGTAAAGGATTATTGATCAACTTACATAGCTTCAGAAGAACATTTGTTTAAGCATTCTATGAAAAATCCACATCGTTAGTTTAAATGAGAGGACTTTCGAAATGTAATATCAACCTTGCAACTTGTATCGCATTCACATTTTCTTAAACTAAAGCTTTGGGTAATTTTATTTCATAAACACATACTTACTCTTTTTTATTTTATAACCCGTAGTTTTTTTTCTTTAGTCTTACTATGTTATACCAACAACCATCATGCACCAAGAATACTTTTCAGAGTTATAACAAAACCTCATTCTGGAATATCAGCATTCATTGCCCGCCCTAACCGAATAATTAAAATCAACAATGTTCAATTGATAGGCGCTCACCATGAATGCAATACTCGCATTCAATATGGAAGTGTACTTTAAGGATGGACACCTACTTGCAAAGATGGAATGGAAATCAGAGACTGGAAGAAAGATTACTATTACAACAGATTTAATACATACAACAAAAAAGCTAACGATCAAAAGATACAGAGAGATATAGAAACAATTTAGAGAGAACTAGAATTTAATGGCACAAACAAGAAGACAAAACAATTTTTAACTTATTTATGACTGATTCCAGCTATGAGGTACTTTTAGTAAAACTATAAAATTAATAAACCTTAGAGATGAATGTAATTAAATATGATTTAGTACAGCTTAAGAAGAAATATGTACCTACGCCTATACGTATCTCTCTTCTCATATTATTTGCCGAGCCTCGTATATAAAAAAAATACAAATAGAAACCGACGTCAATATTTTAACAGGTTATTCAGGAGCTTAATTTTAATTCCCCGATGTCGGCGTAGTGAAAGGAATACGATCTCAAATGTCATGAGCAAGCTGTGCTACGTGACGGCTGTTTCGCAAATTGCTCACGAGCACTTTTGCAACGGTGACAAAGTTACAACAATTCCTTTGTTTTAGTGTCGGTTTGATTGTTCACTGAATTAAATCACGTAAACTACTCGGGACGACACACTAGTAAGATATAAATTAAAGCACTGCATCAATACTATAAATCCTTTTACAAACCAATATTATTAATTAATGGGGACATAGCCTATGCCACAATAGTACTTGTTATTAGATGAAAAATCTCAAAAAAAAAAAAAACAACTATAACATACAAATGGTAACCTTAAGGTTAGGTTATATTATCAATTGTATTTTTTTGAGGATCAATTACTATTTTTTCGTGATCATTTATATGTATAATGGGCCTTTTAAAATATGCACTTAACTAATTAATGTTAAGCGGTATCAAGAAATAAATTGCAATTAACTACATGTAACATTGTAGATAAATAATACAGAAAGAAATCTGTAAAACATTAAACAAACTTCTTGATATATTCATTAGACATAATTTCTGCTTCACCTATTAACATGTACCCGAGATTCTCTCACGTCTGTTTTCTAACAGATGCTTATTATAATCTACTTTCACCTTCTTCTAACATCGATTCTGTATCACTTAATTAAATATTCCACAGAATCATTATTAAAAATATTAATCATCATGTTATTATGCTATAATTAATTAATTAAACATGTTTGGTGTAGATGATTGGTACGGAAATTTCAAATTTCTCTTTCATTCCCCAAAGTGCCTATTCAAATAACACTTGAGGAGATTTCCAGTATGTTAGTCAATATTAGCATCAGAATCATCTTCCAAAAGTGTTTGATAAACCAGACTAAAAAAGCCTTTAATCACATGAACGATAGTACGACCTTACTTAAACACAACTAATCTTTAATATTATACAATTATGTTCTTAAACATTATTTCTTCATATTTATTAAAATGCTCATTTGAACGTCCTCGGCTACTATACAATGTAAATATTAAAAATAATGGAATCTTGATATTCACAAGAAGTAAAAAGTCGTTGCACGACAATATCAAACTTTACCAACATTAAGTTTGTTGTAATATAAACTGTTTTTTTTTAAGTATTATGGCTATTTAAACGTACAAATATCAGTCAAATCTGCTTGTTAGATATGTAGTTGCTATAAGATTTGATAACATGATAAAGCAAATAGCATTACCCATTAAATATTCATTTCTTGATAATAATAATATCATTTGTTGACAGACAACACAGATCCATTTTATGTGTACAATATAACTTATAACTAAGTGTTAGTAGCCTGTGGTAAGTATCCACACATTTGGAACATTTTTGGTTTTCTAATACGTCATGTACCTTAGAACGACACCAGGAAGAATAATTAACTTCTATTTCAGTCATCATTCGCACGGAATTCGCACTTTTAGAATGGTGTTGTTACTGCTCCGCACTCTACACATCGGTGACGCAACTTTTTTCCACAAGACGGCATGGAAATCATTAGTTCGAGTTTCAGTAAACTTTCCGGAAGCACTATAGAAGAGGGGCAGTCCCAACATCATCCTCAAAATATTATTGTATTGCACGCGCAGTGTCCATGGATTCCCGCGTACATACCCTGACAATATGCTTTGAATAGGGTTATCTTGACCTGATCCGAACAACGAGCGAATCTTCGGGCCAACATGTTCCTCAAATCGCCATCGCCTTTTGCTCTCTCTCAATGTCAAGGTCGTCGGCAATATGACCAAGATATTTAAATTGATAAACCCGTTTTAGTGGTGATCCATTCAAGGTGATAGGAGAGGTGACATCCCGACATTTGCCTGCCTTAAAGATCATGTATACACTCTTGGTTTCATTGTAAACGAGACCATGCGACGCAGCATAGGTCTCACACACTTTTAACAGCTCTCTAATAGCTCCCACTGTCGGACTCAGCAGCACCATATCATCCGCGTAGCTGATGTTAATTATATTAACACCCGGCAACCGACCCGCATGTCGGTAAGCTCTACAATGAGATCATTGACATATAGATTGAAGAGCTTCGGTGACGTCAACCCACCCTGTTTCACTCCACATATTATAAGGATGACATACAAAAATATAGACTTAACTTTAGGAATATAGGTTCTTTAGTGGAAACATTAGCTCAACCTTATTCAGAGTAAGAATAGCGCGATCTCTTCAACAGAGATTAATTAGTTCTGTGTAAATGTTTGTTGGGGTATGATAAGGCTGGCATATTCGGAGAATGAAAGCCTCAAAATAAATAAAGAACAAAGAATTAGTATGACAAGAAAGCCCTTTGTAAAACCAGATCTCTAAAGAGTTCCTTAGAGAATATAGTAGATTGAAAGAAGAGTACCATAAAACCATTGCAATATAAATTAAACCTGTTTAGTAGAAATTCCAGATAGATTTTGACAAACAAAAAGGTAAACAAGTGCTTTTAAAAATAAAATATTAACGGAGTAGCTTTAGATATTCCAATAAATCCTTCTTAAACACTCATTTAATATTTTTAAGCTCTATCGTCATTATGCCTGTTCTGTCCCCAATTTTATTTGAGGTCGGTGCTGTTTTTGTCTTCGATATTTCTCGATTATTTTCTCAGTGGTTGAGTAAAAGTAAATAGTATTGGTCTTGAAAAATAATAACCAGCCCCGAACGTATAGGTTTCATGTGCTATTGTTCTTATAGAAATGCATGCGTCTCGGCTGATGAAAGCAGAAGAATGGGCCATTGCACACCCAATACATTTGCATAAGTGTCTTGGGGTCAATATCCTTCACCAGTAATGCTCAAGCGTATACAATATTCCTCTATAATATACAGACATATGTGAAAGGACTTTTCTTTTATACGTTCAAAGGGCATGGAGTGTACCACACACACCTATTATCTTTACATTGTTTGAGGACAACGTTCGTAAGAAAAGGGTAGACTACAAACCTAGTTTTATGGATACAGAGGTCTAAATGATATCTTATATATGCAAGCTTTAACAGCTTTATAACTCAATTTGTTTATTGAGATTTATGATATAGTATAAGTTTATTTTTCATCAAAATCATTACAGCAGTCGCATCAAATATTGAATTGTTGTTATCATCAACTTATGATTTTTCTAAGCATCATTATTCTATTATCTTGAATCTGAACTATTAGAACATTAGATTAGATTGAATTATTAGTACAGCAAAATACTGAAATAGTGATATTTTTAATGTTCAGTTTTTTATTTAATTTTGTTTCGTTTAAATCATAAATAAAGATCACATGTGTTAATAGTTCAAATCATATCAACACATGTAGGTTGCTGGTATTTACATTAGCGTCAAAACAATTTGTGAAGTCACCGGACTAAAACATTAAAGGTTATTGGTCCCATTGCTCCCATTTCAAGCAAGCTTCTTATAAGGAAGACTTCTATTTAAAACGAATGATTCAAAAGAAAGCATGATCCGTTCATACAAAAATCCATATTTGGTGGCAATTATTTCGTGATTAGCATATTCTTACATATTTAATATATTAATTTAGTTCGTGGCTTTTTTGTTTCTGTTTTTTACCTTATATTGTACTTAAATTGATAATTAAAAAAACACAGGAAAGAATATTTTAATGGATGTTATCATTATAAATGTTAACGACTATATTTGGGTTTTGAGAAAAGAATATAACGAGTGTACCAGTATTGCAGTCTTCTCTCATCGACTGGTAGTTTTGGGTTACACAAATTTGCGGTATAATAATTACCTAGTTGTGCTTAGACTTGTTATGGATATGCTAGTCTCTATCTGAAAAAGATATGGTAGTATGATCACCACCTGAACTGGTTGTCGTAGTCGAAATAATGAAAGTCGTGATAGAAAAATATATTAAAGCAGCGGGCCTTAACCGCGTGGACTTTTTTCTACTAAAATTTTATTTACATTTAAATATATAGGAAATAAATAGGACCCTACGTTGTGTATGTTGTAAGAGTGCTGGTATTGAATATCTATTTCTATATTAATTATTCTCCTAGAAATCGGTTCAAGAGGTCTGCTACCGCTGGGAGGTTGCTGTAAAGGTGTTTGTTTTTCCTGTTGGCAATTAATTATTATCGAGTCTCTAAGAAAACAAACATCTAAAAACACCTTTACAGCGATCTCCCAGCGGCAACAGATTTCTGGAACCAATTTCTACGAAGTTAATTAATATTGAAAGGGGTTATCAATACCAACACTCACACAACAAGTACAACGTTAGATCCTATATATCCAAGATATTTTTCGATAATTTAGTATTCATCATACATGACATTTAATCAACAACAAGACGATCACAATTCCCATTATTTAGACTACGACATCCATTTCAGGTGGTGATCAAACCAACATATATATTTCAGATAGTGCCGTAGTGACTAGCATATCCATTACAGACTTAACTTTACTGTAAAGCGTTTGAAGAAATGAGCTCTTAGCGCTTCTTATGCATTCCTGCCAAATCTTCCTTTAGACCACTATAGACAGATTAACATAGGCTAATGAGCTGTTAAACCCATCACGCGTGACTTATGGTATATAACATTGTACCAATTCTTGCAATAAAAAGTTTCAATTCAAAACAGAACTGCTCACCTCTTCAAGAAGTCCGTGTATTCAGCCTGTCGTATGAGTCCGGTCCTCATCATGATGGTCTGGAAACACTGGCGCTCGATGGCCCAGAGCCGGCAGTCGGTGGCTGCTTTAATGGTGGCTGTCCTCTTACAGTTGTACAGAATGGCCAGCTCACCGAACACCTTGCCCGGGGCCATGGTGCTGAGGTATTTGTTCTCCCGTGATACCTCCACGCGACCCTCTGTGGAATGAGTAACATTTTAATATTTCGGATGGAATGTCAGTATGAAACCCTTGTAAGTCGACAAAAAGTTAAACAATGGGCCTAATTCTGGCATGATTCTCTAAACCTAAAATTTAATTTGACTATACTGTATCCTTGTTATGCTTTAAACAGAATGAATAAGAGAAACCGTTATCAAATTCAGTTTTAAGTATCATGCCAGAAGTACGTGATATAATTGGACTTTTAGTAATAATTTGTGCCCGAGTCACTCCCTAAGCCCTTCAATCACCTTTAGTTCAAAAGTTATTGTAAGGACTGACAAATAAAGCTCATAAGTATCATTACAAATGTAGTTTCGGAATTCATACTCAAAACATGATATTTATAATACCTATAAAAAATAACAATCTAAAATAATTTAATCATTTTTTTGCTTTTTGTCATTGCCGTCCAGATTTGCTTGACATTCTAGATGGCTGAAATATCACACTTCCACTTTAAAATACATCACATCAGACATTAAAACTACTTTATTCCACTTATAGAGCGATTCAAGGTTGTTCACTATACATCGGTGTTCATTTACTTGGTTATTACAATAATAATTAAACACGAAACAGATACTTATCAATTCTCTTATAATCCTTGTCGCTTTTATAGCTTTAGCATTAAAGTTTAAATTAATTTATCATTATTACAAGTTGATCAATAGATAAGCGTGAGAAACAAGGAGCAATCGTGTGAATTGATTATTCTTTGTATTGTGTATTAAGTGATTTAGATATCGTTAGTTCAACCTACAATGTTTCTACTGACCCGGATACATTATAAGATTAATAAAGAAACATTTTTATTGTTGTAATAAATACTAAAATCTGCTAGAATATTATGACAATACCTAGCAATATTGTATTAAAATTATGAATTATAAAAGAATACAGACAAAATGAAGAATTATAGGGTAAAGCCGAGCTAGAAAAACCTTGTTCTCTGAATAAATTTAACAAATCTTATCTGAGAGATATGAAAACAACAAGATCAAATAACACATTTTTTGTTCTACAAAGTTGGAACACAATAGGAACCATTCTAATGTCATCTTGTAGATATGGTCATGCCGTGTTTAAGTCACAAAAAGGTGTTAAAGACTCTTCCTAACAATTAAAGCCAATAAAACGTCATTAACAGGTATATTATGTGTGAAGTTTTCTATTACGGTCAATATAGACAAAGAGAAATATTCCTGAGTTGATATTAAACATTGATACAAAATTTCTATGAATAACAAAAGGGTGGAAAAAAATATATGTCCTTAGTTTATGTAAGTTCATTAATAATAAATAGGTTTAGCATTATGGACTGTATCTTTGTTATTTTATTCAGATGATTATGAATTATACGCAAGCACAACTCAAAGCAGTTTTTTTTATCAGTAAATAGTACTTACACATGAAATATTCGAAATATTTCATGCTTATTTTGAACATTTGGAATATTATTTTAACTTAAACAAATATAGCAACGTATCACAATATCTACTCTTCATTTATTTTTTTCAATCGATTCCCCATAAAGAAGTCAATAGAAATATAAGTCTTAACTTATTTTGAACTAGTGGCCCGCCCTCGCTTCGCTTCGGTGTAGAGCTGTAGTGTAAACTATAGTTTTTGTTCTCAGGCTTGTGCTATAAAGAATGACTTTATTTATATAATTACACGTGTTATTGTGAGTCAACCATAAAAGATAGACATATGCTGTTGCGGGATATTTTTTAGACAATTTTATGTAGAATATTTCCGTCATACATGATTTCTATGTAACTTTAACCATTAAGGCTGCACCCGCGACGGAAGCTTAAAAAATGGAGTAACTTCTCCCGTTTTCCCAACATTTCCCTTCACTACTCTGCTACTATTGATTGTAGCGTGATGAAAGTATACTATAACCTGCCCAGGAGTATGAAGAATAATTGTACCAAGTTTCGTTAAAATCCGTTGAGTAGTTTTTGTTTCTATAAGGAACATACACACAGACAGACAGACAGACAGACAGACAGACAGACAAAAATTTTACTGATTGCATTTTTGGCATCAGTATCGATCACTAATCACCCCCTGATAGTTATTTTAAAAATATATTTCATGTACAGAATTGACATCTCTACAGATTTATTATAAGTATAGATAGATAAGTCAACATCAACTTTTATTATACAACATATTCGTTTGGCGTCGGCTTAGCAGAACAAATTTATCGTAAGCATAGTGCTTACGATAATTTAGTGCATTGTAAGCCTGTCGAGTGAATGAACGCATTTTAAAAGCTGTATGTGTAAATTGAACCATTCCAGATTTTGATTATTTGATAAGATTATTATAACAAAAAGTGAAAGTACTTAATGGCGTTGCAACAACTTAATTAACTCTGAATATAAGACAGTTGGTTCATGAAACCACGAAACGAATACGATTTCATAATTTTAGTTTAATCATCAAATATAATTTGAGCTCTCAGCTTATGCTGTTTTGAGGATTGTCCGGAGAAAAGGTGACGTTGTATTAATTTATATTATTCTTCTAGTGACTCTTCGAACAACGAAGGTTGGCAGTCAGCTCTACATACTTCTTCTTTTCTTTAGCGAGATGGAATAATTCCACGGCACTCGAGATTCCAACCCATTCTCGTAGTTCCCTCAACCAAGATTTCTTCCTGTGACTGACGCGTCATTTTCCAGCAACATCACACATCATTATGAGATTTAAAAGGGCATATCTTTCAGTTAATTATAGAAAACATTTAAGAACTCCATCCCACATGTTATTAATGAGATTATTGGCGATTTACTTATGCCCTAAATAACGAGGACTACTACTGCGGACATAATTACTATTGATGCAACGCCAATGACGATACACGATGAAAATTTATTTTTATATCAATCTATCAATTCAACCATAAATCATTAATTAAACCAGAAAGAACTAAAATACAAATATACCAGTAATCCGTGCGTGCACCATATACATCTAAAACGCGGTCTTACACATTATATCCGGTTTTGCACAAACAGCTTTTTGGACACACATTAAGTTAATAACAAAATTATTAATTTTCAATATTTATATACAAACAGTAAAACTTCTAATGGATTGATTAGAAGGTGGCATATATACTTTTTATATTTTATCCTATTTGGTTTGAAAACCTTCTCCATGAATGGGTGTGAAATAAAAATATCATGAACACAGAATTTGATCACATCATTATGTGTATGTTACTGTAATCAAGAACGTATACTTAATGTACAGGTTGCCCTTCTTGCCATTGCACTAGGCCGCTTTACTTAGTTGTTGCCTAAGTGCCCCTGTGATTTAACGTGTACACTTTTTCGATTGCAGCAATCGAACTAAGTAGGTAATGATTTTGCAAATGATGTTTGATGATTAAATCAAACCTTCTTGAACAGGTTATAAGTTGTGTTTAATTTATTTTAACATATTTTGGCGTATCTGATCCTATTCAGGTTTTATAGCTAGCGATTAATAACTTGTTAGATATAGAAGTTACGTTTGAATCAATACAAAATCAAGAAATAATTTTGTAAACTATTTCAAACATTAATTAAAAGTATATTAATGTCTTTATTGAAAACACTGTAAGTATGATATTGATATTTGGGTTCCACCATTAACAATAAGGATTGCAACACTAATTTACATTGATGAAACATTTTGAGACAGTGACGTAACAAATTCTATAGCTACTTATATCGCAATGAATTACGTTTCATGTAACGTCATTACAATTCAAATGAATATCAAAATTATCCAAATAGGAATTTCAGATAAAATTTCTTATGTTGGTACTAATTTTAAGTGATGACAGTGAACAATGCAAAGTCATCCACAAAGCAATGTCACTGTAAATATTGTTGCATCTAATGTGCTTACAGTTATTACTATCAACATCTCGCAAATACCTTATGATATCATAAAATATGAAAATAAATATAACATCACCTGCTTCCTCGTTTCGCTTATTATTCTCAACAGCAGCCATATTATTGTCTTCTAAACGCGTAACGTCTAGAATTACCCCCGCGTCCAAAGAGGTTTCTGTAGCGTTACTGTCTCGTTGACATAAATTTCCAGTTCTACGTTTCCGTGTTCCGTAGGTATGAACTGGTACTATCAGCTTAGGTCTTGGTATCGAAAAGTCTGAATCCGAACCACTAGATGAACTCTTAGCACTTCTTGAAAAAACACAGTTGCCATTCGACACGCGTTCCTCTCTGATGCGATCTTTCGACACTCCGAAAGACATAATGTCATTGTACCTTTCATACCTATCATCACTTTTCACTCTCACTGTATTGTACAACTTGCCATACTTATCACGTTTAATTTGTTTTGTAACACCGTTAGTAGTCCGAGAGTCACTTTCCTTTGCTGAATCTTCCGAAGACACCCCATTACTGACAGAAGAGGCATGATGCTCATTGTACATACCGTACTGCATCATCGTTAGCTGCTCATTGGGAGATAAATTTCTTTTTGGTTGAGTCACAGTTACACAATCGCTCAAGTCATTTGGTCGTACAGAGTCAAGATAGGCCCGAAGAGGCGCCCTTCCTTCACTTTTTACTCTCAATGATTTGGAACGGAAGCTAGGTTTAACATCTTCAATACGTCCATTTCGTTCGTTTACTGGTTGCGTAGTGCGATTCGGAAGTTGTTCGCATGTAGATAATGATTCATTAATAGGCCTCATGTAAAGACCTAAATCTTCCGCCTCGCAATCTTCATTGCCTATTTGCTGTCCTGATTTGAATTTCATAGGTGTTAAATCTAATGTCGCCATAGTATTTATTATCTGATACATCGTGTCTTTACCAAAACTTCCAGAATGAGCATCGTATAACTCGTCATTGGGGGGCCCTGACACAACTAAATCTTTTTTGTTATCTCTTTGTAGCTTAATTTTATCACTATCTGTGTCATTGTTTTGTTGACTAACTCTTGAATAGTACTCATAATAAGATTCTGAAGATGGATCTGGCGGCACAGGTCCAGGGTCTGGTAACGGGTAATAATTTTTCTTTGAATCTACTTTCCGTTGCCTGTGGGCATACTTGAGCGAATCTTTACGCTGTGGTGGAACAGGTGCCTTCCCATTATTAGCAAAAGTATCTATATCCCATTCAGTGAAATTTCTTCGTTTAACACGCTTCAGAGTAGAAGGTCTATAGCCATTCGGCATATCCTTAAAACTATAACTATGCTTCAGTTTATTTTGAGCAATCAGATTATTATTAGCGCGAGCTTTCTCTTCAATATTTTGTTGATATTTAGCTAATTGTGATATGTTTTCATTAGGAACAATGGTTGAGTAGCATCCGCTATCGTCTGAATACAGCTTGTTTTCGTAGTTTTTATTACTGTTACTATGACCTACATCTCTACAAGACTTACTTCTTGATATAGAATTGAATTTCACCTTATTTGAGCTGCTATCATTTTCATTATAATTACTGAGATTCTTTGCTCCAACCCAGTTCGCCGCATACACCAAGTCCATAGTTCTGTCCCCGATTGAAAGCCACGGGTCTTCCATGACCGCTTTTCCAGGATAGTGTTTTATTTTCATTTTGCTAAATATTCTGTTGAAGTCTTATCATTCCTGTAAGTTGAGATGTGCGTTTTCAATGTCCATTGAATAGTTAACAAAAAAAAATCCATCTTCCAGTTTTCTTTGGTATTTGTTAATAGTTAAACTTTTTACACCGTTAGCGTATCACCCAGCGATGATGAGATCTGTCAAGTGTGATTAAATGTAAAATCGCAGTTAGTTTTTACAACAACATTTGAATCGTATGTTACTTTGTTAATAACGTTGAATGAACTAAAATGATTAATGAAGTGATGATTATATATGCCATCGTTTGTAAAATAACGACTTTATAGAAATCTATTTGAAATTTGGATGACATATTCTTTAATTTCTTAAATATTAACCCTAAATTATTTATATACAGATAAATATTTTAAGTTTAATTTATAATGATAAGTTTTTAGTTTGATATTGTTGTGCTTATTTAATTAATAAACATTAGACACCAGAAAGTATTTAGTTTCAAAATTGTATTCATAGGTTTTCAGTTACGTATCAAATAGTTATTCATATAAATGTAATTATTGAAAGTGCTAATTTTAATTATTATTGAATTAAATTAAATCAACGTTCACGTTATCTTTTGTTTCAAGAATTCGTTGAAATTATAAAAGAACAAATTTATTTTTACTATAGGCATTGAGTTCAATTGTATATTAAGCTCAAAATGTTTAATATTAATTCATTTTGTAGATGTAATCTTTTACTTAAAATATACTGTTTATGAGACTTAAGTACACATTAGAGCTGCAAAGTATTTCGCAACAGCGGACGCGTCACGGGATGCAAGCACGTATTGCACAATAGACTTTTCGATCCATCACTTAGTCTCAAGGAAGTGGTAAGTGGGTCTCCAGAGTCTAATAACGAAAGATCATTACGTAATAAATAAATAGTGGAACCTTATTGTGCGTGTTCATTACGCAATTATAAATTGTTCTAACACCACTTTCTCTTAAATCTATGAATATCAATTTATTTAAGATATAAGTATAAACAAGAAGTCTACTTTTTACATCTATGACTTTGATAGTAGTACTTAGCAGCAATGGTAACCTTGAAATGGCTAGAATGAAGTGTCTGGTATAGAAATAATAAAATGTATATGGCTTAAAACAAATAAGTGGTGGCAATAATTAAACGCATGATTAAGTTAGTAGGAAAAGATTTCTAGACATCAGCGAATGCATTAGAAACCAGTTCATTGGTCCACATATCCAACCAACTGGCTAGCGATAATACGTGAGAAGCGCATCCAGGAACATGAGAAATCAGCTATGTCTCTGACCACACTTTCTTTATTTTAAATATTGAGACAGTAACTCCAAAAGCATTATATTAGTAACTTAACCAATAGGAGGTAGATGATTCTTAATTTATGGGGAACAAAGAATAACCTATTTGTCATGCATTTGTTCTGTGGCACTTAAAACCGACAAAAAGGTCAAAGACGAGGACGATGAATTGTAAGCTTAACACAAATAGACCGCGGTTATGACTCACTGGATTACTTAAATTCAGCATACAGAAGGGTACCAATCTGACTTAACGATAGAAATAGAACAGTTTGGATTTAGTAACGGTATGCGTGCTAACTACACAATGGCGATAGTTTGTCCTACTATAGGATGACCATATACGAGAGTATACAATCGAATCGATCAGTTTACCAATGATTTTTTATATTGTTGCACAACCTATTTCTTATTGACGATGATAATTATTAGAGCCATTTTTTTTAATAAGCACAATAATATGTAAGTCATGTTGAATTTCTAAAAAGTACTGCGATTACCAGTATAAACACGACTAGCTTGTCATGTAACGATCCACGGGACATCATAAATCAACTTTCTACGGTCCGATGACCTTTCTGGTGGTATACCCACATACTATGTAGTGATTGCCCGATAACATCAATCTAAATGCTATGGTCCATTGTCAAACACGGAACGCGTTATCAAATTCGCATGCTGATCGTATCAGGATAACTTTCTAAGCATTGTTTATGTTGTTAAAAATTACAATGATCCAACACCTTGTTTAGAAACAGCGTGCTGTTCGGTAGAACCCGATAAATTAATAAGTCATGGAAGTGCAATACCGATTTCATTTAATATAATACGCATGAATTGGCTGACACAAATCCATTAATTCACTGCCGTTACAGCTTTGTTGTTTTCTAGCTTTAGCTAAATTTGTTCATATTTTACAAGATAATCTGAGATTGCATCAAAAGTCAAAGATTGTCTTTGATACAAAGTTAGAAAGCTAGTCTTTTACATTATTATGTTAAAATACTGCCTTTAGTCTACAACGTTCCAAAATACTTTCACGACACACAGGTAATGCACGCAAACAAATTGCCTGCAGTAACCTTGTGCAGAACCTTCGAAATTAGAACTTTCAATTATCTTGGGACAAAAACAATCTTCACAGAATAGGAACAAGCTGAACAGATATTTTTTGTTTGTGTTATTTTGTGATAATGCCTTTTGATATAATAAAAAGAACCAGTTATCATAACTATCATTAAAAATCTACGGCTTTGGTATAAATAAAATTCATTAAATGATAGTATGCGTATGCAGATGATGAAAATAAGAAGCACGATTAAAATGTTGTTGTTGAATAAAATAAAACATAATCCATGAAAGTTCCCAAATCCTCCGATTAAGCTGAGAGACACAGCTGCACTTCCGTGAAAAAGTAACACCACGGTGTGTAACACAAAGACACTACAACAATTACCATGATTGAAATAGAACACTCTCTTAATATGGTTTTATTTAAAGAGTAAAAACTTTGGCGTACGAGTCATTGTTTGTTTCACAATGAACTCGATCGCTGCCACTTTAAATTCAAAACGCGAGACGAGGACACGGCGACCAATCACGCTAAAGTCGCGACGCTTACTGCTCCACTCCGACTCGACCGTCTCTTGCGCATATGGACAGACAGCTGTGCGCGAAAGAGTCGTTCCAATGACAGAGACGGAAATCTTACCTGTATTTTGTTTAAAGCTCGGTGTTTATACATTATAAATTCGACAAGTTATATATAAGTTATGGTCGATAGGATGCTTTTCTAATACTCCTTTTGTGCAAATGACGTAAAGTTTCGAATATTTAACAAGTGATAAATAGAAGACAGATGTATACTATGTATATAGAGGTACTTACTCCTAGTGCTAATAAAACTATTTGAACAGGTGAAAAATACTACAGTACTTACGTACGTAATGATATAAGAATTGAGATATATATCGCCAACGTCACTGATGACGTAATTTCTTTAAATTCACTAAAAGGTATATTTGAATACGTTATAAAAAATCTATTGAAAAATCACCTCCCACTAGAATAAGCCCAAAAGAACTGCAAACGGATGCAAAAAGTAGAACATTTCTGTAGTTACTTTAAATTGTAAAATAAGTGAATGTAAATAAAAACTAAGGTGAATCGGTGCAAAGCATCGCCCATGACCAATCGTTGGCTAAATGTTTGCGATTGAAGGTCAAGACCTCCAAACAAATAGAACCTCATGCAATCGATCGCCTTTTTTTTTACTAAAAAACGCTGCACCTGCCTGGTGCTTACTCTTATCTTATTTCATACTGACGCCAAAATTTAAATCATCGACGGTTTGATTAGGGTTTGATGACAAGAAATATTAAAAAGATTTTTTAGCCCATTTTTTAATAGAAGAACGATACAGCCTTTTTATTTCTCTATCAGACAAAATGTAACACGCATTTATAAAATAATAGGTTATAGTGTACCTATAAAACCTGGATACCAACTAAAGACAAAGTACTTGTCAAGACGGATTTGCGTCGTTTCATTACAGAGCCTTACAAAGTATGCCAAATTTCAGCTGAATCGTATAACAAAAAGTGGTCGAAAAATGGTTTACAAATTTTGAAGGAGGCAACTTACATATGTACGTACAATACGTATAATACTCGTATATGAAGAGTAAAAAATTAGAGTAAGTAACAAAAATTGGATTTAAAAGCGAAATGAAATTACATTGTTTTGCATATTATGGCTGTGGAGACAAAATTGCTGTCCACTTAGTTCAGAATTGATATTCGTCTTTCATAATTTATCAGTATTGATCCATGTCAGTTTTTGTTTTATTTTGTTTTTCATTACTTAATCATTTAGGATGATTTAAAAATAGAAGTAAAACTATGTTACTAGCACAAATCGCATTATACAATTCGTTGTATTAATGTTTGATATTGCCTTCATAATTTTGTAGCGAATGTCTCTTCTCTAGTCTGAGAAAATATACTGACATACTTTTATTTTTTTTCTGACAACGATCTTAATAAATGCTAACAATATCACAAAATAATACAATTGATAAAATCGAAATTGCTATAGATCATTGATCGATTAAACATCAAGAGAAAAGTGACTAATTAGAAACTGTAAACGTACAACTCATTGGAGCGAATGAACGTACGAAACAGTAATTTGCTACTTAAAAGGCCGTAGCAAGATTTCACGATAATCGGAATCAATTGTACATATCAGTCATGAACTTATCCATACATGTGAAATAAATAATGAAATTATGTGGATATAACGATGAGTTATTGAAACTTTTCAGTAACTAATAAACCAGTGATAATAAAATAAAGTTAGAATTTAAATAAAATTATGCAACTTAGGGAAATGTCACATCAGAATATAATAGGTGTTTTAATCAATAAATGTTTAGTTACGAAGCTCAAATAACATAATATCACTGTCAAATCTTTAAAATACAACACACTAATTTATATTTTATGTTGCTAGATTGATAATTTCAGTGTTAACTAACAATGTCGGTACGTCCCATTTGCATAAATGGCTTAGCTCTATCCAAAAATATACTTCAATTTATTTTACTTTATCTTTATTTACTCACACATTTTCATTAGGAACTGGAATCATTTCCACATTCTTCATTATTACATTATTAAATTCACATTAAAATGATGTGTTCATGACTGAAATAAGAAACATAAACATTGCCATTTAGAAGTCTGTAAATTGTCAGTGTCCTGTAATTTCTTGCATAACGAAATGTCAAGCATTTTTGACTTTGAACAATTGATGAGTTAAACACGATTAAGCCTTAATTTAAATTAAGAACTTTGGTACCCGTTGAACCTATGTGAACAATCCTCATCAAGTATTAGTATCTGAAACTTTAGTGCTATGGAAATCAAATATACCGTGGTCAGTCACCACCATCTAAAATAAATGCAGAAAATTATCTTTTCCATATAGGTACTTTAAATCTCGAAAGAACGAGATTCTACCCATGATTGTGTAAATTTCTGGATTAAATGCAACAGCGAAACTAATTACAGCTATACGGATAAGATCAGTACGGATGCTAGACTAGTAGTAACTAGTATTTCACGGTTCGAAAGTTCAAGTAAAAGTAGAAAATGCTAATCGCCCGGTATCGTCAGACAGATTTCATCTGTGATGCAACGGTCAAGGCTGCAAAGATCATGGTTTCACTTTCTCAGTACCTACCACTCTTAACATAATGTCTCGTCATTGCAGTTTGTTCCGTCATCCAATGGTTGTTTGAAACTCATTTGCTCCGCTTTTGAAAGGAAAAAAGTGACCGCTCATCAAATGATCAGTGTTGATGGTTTTCAAGAGAAAAAAAGCAGTTTTATATAAAATATGGTATAAACGCGATGCATCTGTGATTTTTTAGGAGAGATCGTTTTGGATAGATAATTATTTTTCCAACCTGAATTTCTGGATGAGTTGATTTTTTTTCTAGATTTTTATTAAATACTTAGTTTAGTTTCCCTTTTAACTAGTCCCTGGTGTCATCTAGAGGCACCACACCAATTATATCATTCCTTTGGCAACGCATCTAAGTTTCCCTTATTTCAGTTGTTCAGATTTCTCAAAAACCTCCGTCTTAATTTTGAACATTGTTGTATTTCAAATAGAAGTTAAAAGAAATATGAAAAAGAAATATAATTATGAATATTTTAGACACTTCTTTATTAGCTATTACAAAAAGACAAATGGATCTTTTGAATTGATTTTTTACGCATGGTCCACATAAAATATGCAAACAGACCTAAATAACAACCAAAATAATGTTTAACTGACATCGTTCGTTTATCTTATCAATGTGACAAAGTTAAACAAAATTTTTGAGTCTCGGTTTTGAAACACTCTTCGATGTAGGTAAAGAAAATTTTAGTAGAAAACAATCCAATCGGTCCAGTTTCCAGATAGGATTCGATGAAATTTTTACATTCTACACTACGTAATATGTGAATTACAATTTATTTTGTTAATATGCTAAAATGTTATATACATTAAGGTATATCGAAACTGCATTAAAATTATTGTAATGAAACTGCACTAACTAATTAAAACAGTTAAGTATTCGACAGCAAGTGGACCTATACTTGTTATAACGAACAAAGCGCTAATACCCAGCGAGAATTGACCCCCTTATGAGGATAACCACCATTAATTGAACAATGAAGCTGGCTTCTCCCCTATTACAGCCAGATGCGTTATGAACAATTTAAACTATATTCTTTATGCTTTCCAAGCAAAAGCAGTACAGTTATTTAAAAAGGTGAAATAGAAGTAAATAATATCAAAGATGATAGTATAGTGTAAAAGGCTTGGACAAGATTTCATCAGGATACATCCATTTTAGTTAAGGTAACTGGCTGGCATGTGAAGTATGCTTCTTATGTATATAAGAGGAGGTATAAAAGCCAAAAGACCGTAGATTCGTACCTAATTACCCACCACTTAAAATCGGGTTAGTGTCATTTGACTACCTAACAAAAAAACCTAAAATGATGTTGGAAAATGAAGACAATGATTAAGATAGTCTTTGGACAATCTTTAAAAAATTGCATCGGCAAAAGATGACGGTATAGAACTCGAGATAGCCAATCCACCTACACGCATTTTGATGTGTGATTTGCATGTGTTAGAACGAATGAGTAAAGCTCACCTTTCAGTAGCTGTGTGAAATAAAATTCCGGTGACGACGGTCACAAAATGGTGACTAATAAGAACTTGCTTGTTGACTAATAACGTGTGACAGGCAGTTTTCAATGTAATTAGTGATATATATTAACTGCTGTCCGACTTATTACAGACAGAACGATAAACGGAATGAACTTTTAAATTAAAGGCAGTGAAATAAGCTCACTGAAAGCAAAATACAACACCATACACACAAATATACAAGAGCATATTATATTTTTGTGAAAATGTATTTAGTATGTACTATATTTTCGTGAAATTATTATGTATTACCATCTAGGTTGTTTTTTGTTGTTAATGTTTATTTTGAATTTTATTAATAAAGATACCGATTGAGAGATAATCTTATTTTAATACAGGTTACATAACTTTAAAGAAATATATATATATTTTATTTATTTATTTATTTTATTTATTCTTTATGCACAAATGTACAATGGCGGACTTAATGCCGTAGGCATTCTCTACCAGTCAACCATAGGATGTTGTGGATATTATTAGTGGTAGGGTGCACAACTGAAGTGGAGATCACATTGAAGTTTATAAAAATAATAAATATAAATAATAATATATAAATGTACACATACATAAGTTAATATATTTAAATAAATACACAAATACATACATATTTCCAAAATAAATACAAAATAATGACGACAAACCACTCAACGAAACGCCTGTTCTAATAAAAAGCTTCGCAGTTTGGTTTTAAAGGTGTATTTACTGGGGGACATTCTGATATCTAGCGGGAGATCATTCCACAAAAGTATCGTTTTTACGAAGAAGGAAGAGTGAATAATATCCGAGCAGTGTGATGGAACGATAAGTAAACGATTAGAAGAAGATCGAAGATTTTTACTATGAGAGGTACATAAGTACTGAAATTGAGAAGTGAGATAAGGGGGAGCATTTGGAGAATCCAGCAAAGAGAACAGGGTTGTCAGAGCCCGCATACTTCTGCGCTGCCTAATGGGCAT